AGGATTTAAGAAAGGTCTTTTACAGTATGGAAGAAAGAGATTTAGTATCTTGGACCACCCTAGTGACTGCTTACTCTCAATGTTCTGAATGGGACAAAGCAATAGAGATCTTCTCAAATATGAGAGAAGAAGGTTTTGCACCCAATCAATTTGCCTTTTCTAGTGTGCTTGTTTCATGTGCTAGCCTTTGCTTACTCGAGTACGGTCAGCAAGTCCACGGGTTCATTTGCAAGGTTGGCTTGGATATGGACAAATGCATACAAAGTGCTCTGATTGACATGTATGCCAAATGTGGCAGTCTGGCTGAGGCGAAGAAGGCTTTCGATAAAATCTCTGATGCTGATACAGTTTCATGGACTGCTATAATAGCAGGTCATGCTCAACACGGTATGGTCGATAACGCTCTTCAACTCTTTAGGAGGATGGAGCAGTTAGGTGTGGAGCCCAATGCTGTTACTTTTTTATGTGTTCTATTTGCTTGTAGCCATGGAGGTCTGGTAGAAGAAGGCCTACAGTACTTCAAGCTAATGAAGGAAACCTATGGTTTGGTCCCAGGGATGGAGCATTATTCCTGTATTGTCGATCTCTTAAGTCGCGTGGGACGTCTAAACGATGCAATGGAATTTATAAGTAAGATGCCCATAGAGCCGAATGAAATGGTTTGGCAGACCTTGTTGGGGGCATGCAGGGTCCATGGTAATGTTGAATTGGGAGAGCTTGCTGCTCAGAAGATACGTTCTTTCAAAGCCGAAAACTCTGCCACCTATGTTCTTTTATCCAACACCTATATCGAATCAGGGATTTACAAAAACGGACTTAGTTTGCGGCATGTGATGAAAGAGCAGGGCGTAAAAAAGGAACCAGGATGTAGTTGGATCTCTGTGAATGGTACATTACATAAATTTTATGCAGGTGATCAACAACATCCAGAAAAAGATAAAATTTATGCAAAGCTAGAAGAGTTGAGGTTGAAGGCCAATTCTTTGGATGTTGTACCAGATTTGAGTTACGAGCTGTAAGACATGGACCTCGGTTAAGTCATACGGGTACGGATGGAAGCCCCGGTCCCCTCGACCAAATCTCCATGGAGAAAAATAAACGCATCAGCTAAAGATATCAAATTAAACAGTGAAGGCAAATGAGTGCTTAAGAACTAAATTTGGGGCTAAAGTATATGGGACTTACAGGTATGATTGTCTGCATTATTCATCTCCTGCAGGTTCTGAAATATGTATGATGATGTACTGCATTAGATAAGGAAGAATAAGGATTCGGATTAGGGGAATGACGAAAAGCGCCACAGACCATGCTTGGTTCTATGAAGATCTTTTACTTTTTGACAATATGATTGCTTTATTGGGTGAAGGCTTCAGAAGTTTGACCTCTTCTATAGTAATACATTGTTATGGTGTTCTAATATGGAATCATAGAGCCTTTCTGCTTATGATCTTACTGGGGTCTACCGAACTCGTCGTACTCGAAAGTTGCAAAAATTATCATTACATTACATGAATAAGTTTGGGAAGAAATTTCTCCCTCTGATTTATTTTTGTTTTAACTCTCTAAATTTGTCTTTTATCCTTCCTTTTTTTCCTTGGAAACGTGGCCTAGTTGTTCTATTTATCATGCCAAGGATCTGTTTACTATTTCTCCCGTGAATTAGCTGAAATGAGTTCACTGTTCTATATTATTATGATTATTGCTTTTTCCTTTTTACCATAAGAAGAATTCGATTGTGTTCTAATTACTGCAGAACTAAAATATTTTCCACATGATCTCTCATAACTAACCATTATGCTTCTTCTTCCCCACCAATAACCTCACTAGCTGTTCCAGAAGGTAAATTATGCCTCAGCTCTCATGGCTTTGCTTTGGGTTTTTCCAAAATGTCTTATACCAATAGAGATGTATTCCTTATTTATAAATCTACGATCATTCCCTAAATTAGCCAACGTGGGACTCCCTCCGAACAATCCTTTTCCTAGGCATATAAGTAAAAAAAAGAAAAAAAAGAGTGCAAAAACAGTGTCTGTTCTTAGATAACGCATTTAGTGAGTTAATGTGTGCCTTTGAGAGACTATCCAAAAAACAAAGGCTGTTATATGAAATGTGTTGTGGGTATGGCTCTGTTAGCTTGTTGTGCCATTATATGTGGTCCTTTGCTGGATTTATATGCAGGTTCCTCAACATGTGAAGAAGAAGATGGGACAAGCGACTTCCAGTGCGCATGTATGTATATATATATGTACTGGAAATGTATGCATCTCCAAGCCTACAAACCGCCCCCGTGACCTGAAATGTTGAAATCTTTCTGTCAACATCAGTGGAGGATAACAACAATAAGGTACGTCTCCTAACTCAATGCTATGCATTTTGTTGCTACTTATACAGAGTTATTTGCTGCTTGGGCCACCCTAATTCCTGTTTCCATCTAAATAGATACATTTATTTATACATTTACGAAGAAAAAGAAAGAAAAAAAGATGCTGGGTTTGAACGTACAAGACAAAACTTATATAGCTGTCATAAGTTCATGACGATAGCAGAGTAGCTGCTACAATTCTAAGACTGACGGCTCTTTGAGAGCGACCCTTTTCAAATCTCTCCTTTCCCACATTTTCTCCTGATATTTAATGATCCATCTGGGTTTAGAATAAGGTCATGAAGTGTTCATTATGTATACCATATGATGTTCTTAGCATGCTGTGACCCAACCAAACTGCTGCTTGTCTTTGTTGTTTATATTATCCTTGTAGAGATTCTTACCAACCAAAGTGAACAAGAGAGGCACTTATCACTAACTTTATACTTTTATTAACTTTTGTTTCCATTGTACATTTGCATGTGAATGTACTTTCCCGAAGAGCAACTCACGTGAGCTTTTGTAGCAAGTCACAAGAATCCTATAACTTTGTTCCACAAAAACGGATAACTTTATAATTTTATATACCCACACACACACACACATAGAAATTTGAAATTTTGAAAATTTGAAAATAGAATCGGATATGGTTAAGTTATATATCATCAACATCGAGGAGTTTATTCAGTGTGTTCGTAGTATTCAGACAAAATTACATATTAATTTTAATGTGAGATCCTACGTTGGTTGGAGAGAAGAACGAAGCATTTCTTATAAGGGTGTGGAAACCTTTCTCTAGCAGACATACTTTAAAACTGTGAGGTTGACAGTGATACATAACGAGCCAAAACGAATAATATTTGCTAGCAGTGGGTTTAAGCTGTTACAGTTTCACTCTCAATTACGTCACCCACCGTCAAATACAATGTGTTCCCTTCCACGAGGGTCTCTCCCACTTTATTGCAACGGAGGAACATAGAATGTGGGGTGGAAGAAAAGGTAAATCTAAATAATTTAATGCTAATTAAGCACGTATTTTGATAATGAAAAACTGATTAGAATGTGAGATTAACATCGAAAGTTGAGTTGTAAAGTTGTAAAGTGTTGTATTGTTGACCTTTTCTTTGAAAGCTTTTTAAGGTTTATGTCAAGATTAGAATTAAAGGGTTTCTTTTGTTTGTTTCAATCTTATATTGTGACAAATTTAGTGTCATTTTACAGTATGAACGTCCTTGAATCCAGCCATCCAGTAAAGCAAAGCAAAGCAGATGATGATCAAAACGGGAGTGTCTGGGGGCGTGCATTATTGAGGGGTGCGGGGGGATCGTGTCTGGGTCGATGACTGTAGAACAAAGCAGGCATGTGAAAAATCAAATCAAAAGGAAAAACAAAAGAGCAGTTTTAAAAATTAAAATTCCAAGCTGGGTTTGTTTTGTTGTTGAAGAAACAGTCATGATAATAGGCGTTAGTGTTATTATCGAAACAAGTGCGAAACAAGTGCAGACAAAGAGCTTATCTGTGTTCATTTTGTTGCCTTCCTCTTTTTCCATAATTCATCATATATGTATATATATATCGATAAGCATCCCGTCACGCTCAATCCAATCAATATCGTGGTTAAAATTGATTGAGAGAGCCTAATATGAACATCGAAACTATCGTTTTTACGTCGTTAAATGATATATTATTTTACTTTATGGATCGAGTTGGATTGTACTACAAATTTTGTAGAAGTACAAGAGATTGGTGTGTCTAGTGTATTGTTCTGTTGTAATGATTAAAGGGCACACATGTGAATAGAGAGTGGATACCTCCAGTGTATCGGTAACGGCCTAAGCTCACCACTAGCAAATGTTATCTTCTTTGAACTTTTCTTTCGAACTCCATTCAAAGTTTAGGGTTGTAATAGCTAAAACGCGTCTACTAGGGGTTGTAATAGCCTGAGTCTGCCATTAATACATTAATAAATATTGTTCTCTTTGGGCTTTCCCTTTTGGACTTCCCTCAATAACTTTCCCTTTCGAGCATCCTTCAAAGTTTTTAAAACCCGTTTGCTAGGGTTTAAAAGCTAAAACAGCCTACCCTTAGTTTGGCTTTCTCTTTTGGGCTTCCTTCAAAGTTTTAAAACATGTCTAATAGGGAGAGATGCTTCGTTCTTCATCGACTCGATGGGGGATCTCGTAGTATTGTTTCCTTTTCTTCTTCAATTACGTTCTTTCTAAGTTACGAAACGCAGATTAGTTTACGCCGAGATGAACGTATGGATGACGAGATTAATGATATGAATTTGGAAGATTGAAGAAGAAGGGTATGATGATCGTAAGAAGTATGAAGGTAAGGAAGAAACGCAGAAGGGTGGGGCACGTGTAGAGAGAGGAAGAAGAAATATGAAGAGAATTCAAAATGAAAACTCCCCCGTGAGGAGTGTTTGGAGGCATTCAAAACCCACAACTAAACATCCTTTTGGTTGCTTCTTTCGATGCCCATTTTTTTCACTCCCATCACGAGCCCCTTTTCATTTCTGCCCCCACAACTTTTATATACTCATTTTTAACATTATTGCTGGAATAATAGGAAGCTTATACGTATAATTCAAATCATGTCTTATATATATATATATATATTTATATGGTTGTAGAGGAAGCTAGCCAACACAAGTTGGTATAGATTTGAGGCCTCACCATGCCTTTATAAAAACACACACAAGAAAAAGAAACATATAACACACAAACAAAAAGGCTACAATCCATCCATGGTTTCTAGAGAGCACAACAACGCAGCTCTTCATCACAACCTCCAATTACTTCGCTCTATTACCAATTCTCATGCTGTAATTTCCCTCTCTTTTCTCTTCATTTTGTTCATCGCGTTCTTCGTGTTCTTCGTGTTCTTTGATTCGATTCTCAATTCATTCATAAAAAGTTATGATTTTTATGTGTGTAGCAGCTCAACAAGGCCTCGATTATAGTGGATGCATCAAAATACATCGAGGAGCTTAAACAAAAAGTAGAAAGATTGAATCAAGATATCTCAACCGTTCAAACTTCAATCCATCCCATGGTATTTTCTTCAATCAACAACAACTTTTTCACTTAAATTATTCAAGAACAACCAAAAAAAAACATACCCATTTGTTGATTATAGCAGGTGACAGTGGAAAGCCTAGCAAAGGGGTTTTCCATTAATGTATTTTCAGAAAAGAGCTGCCAAGGCCTGCTCGTGTCGATATTAGAAGCCTTTGAAGAGCTGGGGCTGAATGTTCTTGAAGCTAGGGTTTCTTGTACAGATAGTTTCCAATTACAAGCTATTGCAGAAGTAAGATACTACAAGCACCCATCTTTCTATAATTATGCATATAAATCATCATCATTATAAAAACATATATTTATTATTATTATTCCATGGTCAAGAAAGTCAAATCAATCATTCATTTTAACAAGAATATTTACCTAAAGTAATGGAATTTTCCATCTAATCATACACTTCAATGTCGGGTTTTTTTTTTTTTTTTTTTTTTAA